TGTTATGGTATGGCTCATATACCATATTGGGACAGACGCTGGATCGACTGGATCGAAGCGGAGCGGAAGAATCTGTCCAAATTGGGAAGTTACGTGGGTTGGGGTGCGAGGGGCAAAGCCCCGCAGTTTGGTACAGGGGTAATGTTGTAATTACATATTGTGCCTAGGTTTACTCCTGGGGTTATAAATAGACCTGTTAGTAACCCCAAGAGGTATCCCTCTATTTTGTAACCCTTTTCTGAATAGTGAAAGAAACTCGCCGCTCTGCTCCCGAGGACGTAGGCATCTTTGCCGAACCTCGTTAAATCTCTGTGTTCTTCTGGATTTGTGTCGATTACTGTTTTCTTCGCCCTAATTTTCTCAACACCAATTATGTTCCTTTCTATTAGAAGACTAAATATGTGTGTATTTTGTTATTTTGGATGCAGCAAGATATTGTGTCTGTATTTTGGAGATTTTGTTCTCCAGTTTATGCTCTTCAAAGTGTTAGTATTCTCTTTTATCTGCAAATGTTATATATGTATCTTGCTTAAGAATAGATGGGGGATTTCCCTGGCTGCCCTTACCTCATTTAAAATCACTTAAGCTATGAAAGTAATCAATCCAAGCTAATTACGAAACTTCTTAATATCAAACAAATTTCTTTATTTAGAATTAGTTTCTTGATCTCAATTTAAGAAAGAATCTTGAAATTTCATGGCAGATGAGTGAAAATAATGGTTGTTTGGCTTGAAAGCATAGGTGAACGAAATAAGTAGCGGCTTGTCTGGATGGTGGTACGATTTTGTGTATGTGGATAAATAAATGTTGGTGATATGATCCTAATAATTAAGTTGTTCGTCAAACTTTCAGTTCAGTCAAACCATGGGATTGCTTGATTCCCCCGTCTACTGTTTCAGAGATTTAAAGATCTAAACTTTCGGACATTTGAATTCAGTCAGATTACATGTTTTTGACTTGGTTAAACGTTGATGACTTAGTTGATTAAAAACTTTAAATTATTTATTTAAACCCCCCTTAAGATAATATTATGGCTGGCATAATTAATAAAATATACCCAAACTGTTATTCTAATCTACGAAAATAAAAGAGAAATTTCTTTGACAATTTTCACCCAATAGAGGAGAAGAATGGGCTGAGTTCTGACAGTAAAGAGATATCATGGAAGCCGGAAGCCAAGAATCGTTCCAGCAAGGCACCGTGGGCAGAAGAGATAGATGGAAGGGGAGATGAAGAAGATTAGATTCGATAAAGCTCAGAACTAGGATTTAAAATTTTTTAAAATTTCAAACAATCTTTGATTATTTGATCAATTGAATTAAAACCTGGATTTAAGATAGGGAACAAGCAAATGCAAGTGCTGCATGTGGCGGGATTTAGCGGTGATTAATCCTTCATCTACCCGTAAACTAAAAAGCCCCTTTATCAAAATTGAACTTGGATTCCAAAAGAATAGAAGAAATGAAGTAATTAGGTATAGATCGATGGATGCCTGGGAGCATTTGACGCAGGGGGCATCGCATTGGAGCCAGGTGACATCGCTCCCGGTGTCAATGTCGAGGAAGTAGGGTTTCGGAGGGTCTCCAATGTTCATCGATACATAGTAGAATCTGCACGAGTTCATCTAACGATCAGCAAACAGCACATCATCAATGTCCTACGGCCACTCAATCTAGGAATCAAGGACAAAACAGATCTTACCCGTCAGGATAAACGTTCCCGTAAACTGGAAATACGGCGGAGGTGGGGAGTGCCCGACGATCGCCGGCGATGCCATTAGGTGCCGCCGGGGAGTGGGAATCTGGAGGAGATGGTTGACGCCAAGGCCAAGATCTAGGTTTCCGGGGAGAAGTGGAGGGGGAGGAGGGGGTGATGTCTGCGAAACAGCAGGACCGAAGCCCTGCGAAGAGGACGGCGGAAATGAGCGCTGCCATGGCAATTGGTTGCCTAAGTGGACTCATTCCCAGTCCCATTGCTTATACTCTTGTATGGTGAAGTTTCTCCGGGTCTTGATACATATTTATATGAAGGAGAGGAAGGGAGGCTTCTGCCATGGCGGGTAATATGAATAGCAATGTTAGAAAAGCAAATACACTATTTAGATACATAATATTTAAGGGGGCAGCTACTATTGAATAATCTGTTAATAAGTTGATTCAAAATAATCTGTTGATCATTTATTATTTTAGAAAAGTCAGACTGCTAACAGAAAGCTATCACAGATAGGTGCGGTGTGAAATCGTTTTCAGCATTTTTAAAACGCATAAGCTGTCAAAACGCAGTTTACTCCAGTTTACTACGCAGTTTACTCAAACAGGTCATGTGCGTTTTTAAAACGTCACCGCACCAAATAAGCTGTCACAAACGGGCTTTAAATCTTCGAGCGAATATTACGTACATCGGGTGTATGGTACCACCATAATACCACTATAATACCATCAATACCACCTCAAAACAATATCAATATCATGGATCTGGCACAAATTTTTTTTCAAATTCTTATGTTTTTATAAATCTCATAAAAATTGTATTTCATTTTTTTAAAAGTTAACATAATAATATGTTTTTATGATTTAATATTAAGAAAAAAATTTAGATTTAAAAATACTTATTCAGAGACATAAATTCAACTTTAAGAAAATAATTAGTAAATTTTCACTCACAATTAGGGGTGTAAACGAATCGAACACGAACGAACAGAGCTTGTGTTCGTGTTCAGTTCGTTTGAAATTTAATTTGTTTGAAATACGCTCGTGTTCGAAATTGTTCGTAAAGTCACTGTTCGTGTTCATTTCTTAACGAACGAGCCGAACATGAGCTGCTCGCAAACGACGAGTCAGTTTGACATCCCTAATATTAATATATATAAAAATATATTATATAAATTATATAAATTATATTATATAAATATATAATATCCATATTAATATATTACTAATATAGTATATTAATATATTATTATTATTAATTTAGTATATATTATAATCTATAAAATTTAATTTTTTAAAATATCATATATTTTTTATATATAATTATTTTAAATTATTTTATATTTTGAATAATAATTATTTGAACACGAACGAACGCATCACTGTTCGTGTTTGGTTCGTTTAATTAACCGAACGAAAAAAATTTGTTCGCGTTCGTCTTGTGTACTTATCGAACGAATCGAACACGAACTCTTTGACGAACAGGACACGAACTGTTCGCGAACAACGAGCTATCTTGACAGCCCTACTCACAATTAAATATTTTAAATTTTAGGAAAACAAAAATTGTGGGCTGGCATTTTATTGTGAATTTTTTATATATGACTTGAATTTTACAAATGAAAACAAAAAGAAGATGTTTTCAAATAACTTTTTTGGTTTGTTGGGATCACTTTTATTTTTGTTTTTTTCTTTAAATATATACTTAGTGTAATATGTTTTCAAAAACAAATTAATCTATGTATATATATATATATATATATGTTTCAATAAATATTTACATTATATTATATTATAAGAGCATTTAAATACATATCATATAATTCCTATGTATTTATATATTTAACATCTAAATTTTACTTTTCGCATTTATATCAATGAAATATGTTATATCACATCAAAAATATCACTATTTTAATTTTAATAAGGCAAATAAATATTTTGTGTAAAAGTTGAAGTTTAGCTGTTAGATATATAAATACATAGGAATCGAGTGGTATGTATGCCAATCTTCCTATATATTAGTAGTATTATTATTATTATATATATGAAAAAAAATAGGAAAACTATCTACATTTTTTCTTCATATATTCTCAACAAAAATCAAAAGTATGAGATAATAAAAAGCAAAATAAGCATAATATCAACAAAAAAAAAATTCTAGTTCATAAATTGCCTCAAGAAGAAAGAGATGGCTTTCATTCTTCCTCAAACTAAGAATCATGAATGCTTAGTGTTCTCTTTTTAAATTAGTTATGAGTGGCAAAGGAAAAGTATATATTCCAAGCCTAAACTTAGCCATGTCTTTCATTCCTAGTCTTTAAAGAAAAACCTTTTTTCAGTTGGTAACTTTCTTTGGGAAATACTCTTAAATTCCCTTATATTCTTTCTCTCAAAATGCATGTATCCTTGGAAGCTTCAAATGGTTTGTATTTTACGGTAGATCCTTACAAGTACTAAATTTATACAACAAGTTCTTTTATTTTGGTAGTTGATCATTTAATTGAATAAAAGTTAACATGAGAAAAAAGTTTTATGAAAAATTTACATACATACCGCACAATTCTTATGCATTTACATATCTAATACGTAATGTTTGATATTAACATTTATAACATCATGGTATTAGAAATTTATGCAAGGTGTATTTCACTTTTGAAAGTTAATAATAATTATATTTATGATGTCGCATCAAATATTTGAGTATCATGTATATAGATATAAAAATTGAGATGATTGTGTATCGGAAAAGCTTCAGTGGGAATCTAGAGGAAATCCAACAGACTAGAGACTTGAAATTACGGTCATGGATGCCCTGCAGTAGGAGGACCAAAAGTCCTATCACCAGAAGATAAGAGGACTCGATTGACCAAGTGTGGGTTCATTCAATTGGGACCTGAAGCCGACCAGCCGTAGGTCTTCTGAGCCAAAGACTAAGATCCATCAAGCTAAAAGAAGGAATCAACCTAACTCTTGCCTTAACATCACCAGCCACCTCTTTAGGCCTCCTGAGACTCTTTGTCAAGAGGTTGAACATTTTACCATCATATCCTCCATGAACATCTGAAAAGACCTTTTGTCAATGGGTGAGCAACCTGTCAGATTGCGATGATTCTCTGTCTTCCTGACAGCCTATCTAATTCTTACGACAAAATCTCCTCATCTAGGGACACAACCAGACCAAAGCAGTCGATCAACCTGAATCCAGATGATCGAAGATCAACAAGAGTTGATCGGCAACCCCTACTTAGCAGAATCAGACAAACGAGCCTTGTTGAACTAAGGCTCGCTAATCTCAGCTGACCAAACGATATGGTAGTCGTGTCATAGGCCCATTTATATAAATACTCAAAATACCTTGTAATGCCCCCATTAAATCATGGGTGAGCATGTAATTATATAAATTATACCTCCTTTTTCTAAAAATAGGAGACCATTTCATGAATAAAATGTTATGCAATCCCCCATTCAACTGTTCATTATTGTGCACTCTCCACTCTCCCTCTCTCTCTCTCTCTCTATCTATCTATCTCTCTCTCTCTCTCTTTTATTTTATGCTCTATCCATTGGGTGTGAGTCCCAGAAAAATTTGGATTCAACATCGTAAAAGTGTGGTGAGCATGGATCATGCTAATAACAAGAACATAGGCACAACAATGAGAAGAACCCACCAAAGAGGCATTACTGACATGGAGTGCACAATGGAGTTTATGCAGCAAGAGATCCAAGTGATAGGGATCCAATGTTGAATCGAATGACAGAAACTATATGAGAAGCTATTGCAAGGGGAAGAGACCCCGTGAGTAGAACCCTCGGGAGGAAAAGCCAACGCCCAACAACCAAAGGGAAATTCGTGATCCGAAAAAAGCAAAAGGAAACCAGACCAACTCAGCCCTTTGGTAGGAAGGAGATAAGAGGAGGAAGGCGTACAACGAAAAGCACGTATGGAAGAAGACTTTCGCCCCTGGAGACTTTGTACTAAGGAAGGTCAATGCAACTGCTCAAGGATAGTTTGTTGCGAGCTCAACCAGACTTAAACCTGCCCATTCATTATCGACTAAAGGGATGCCCCAGAAACCTACAAGCTCAAGACCTGCACTAAGGAAGGAGTCACTCGGTCGTGGAATTTGAAAAAAACTTAAAAAAAATTTTCCTTAGTAAAAAGCTTCTTCTATCAACACTCAAAAAACAATAAAGGAATTTTTGTTTAAAACTTGTATATATTTACACTAAAAATATTAAAAAATGATTCAGCTGACTATGTGCATAATCACAATTTTAAATAAGATTCGGGAAACTATAGGAGTTCATGCGCTTTATGTCTAACTAACACTTGGGTAACTTGAACCCGAGCAGTCAAGCTAACAGTGACACAAAGATGTCTAATCAGTAGAATGCATAAAGAAATAGCTCGCAATGCTCACGCATCAAAAACCTATCTCTAACTTGAGCCAGATAAAGTTCTGAAGATGGTTCTCTGTCTAGTAGAGACAAGCTCTGTAAAGGGTACGAAGCTAATCACTCGAGAAGCAAGTCTCAATGGTCACTCCCATGAAAACAGATATAAGATACTCTTAATAAGCCTAGCACAAGGGGTAGTCCATCTAAGGTGGAGATCAGACCAAGCGGCCGAGACTCAGAAGTCTAAGATGTGAGTCGGGCATCAAAACTCAAAAAAACTGACAACAATGAAAGTCACAAATCAATAGAAAATGCTTAAAATGATCAACAACGACACAAGATGTCTGATCAGCAGTTAACGTTGAAAACCAATCCCCAATGTCCAAGCATAAAAAAACTCATGTCTCAAAATTTGAATTAGATAAATCTCTGGATGTGGCTCCTTGCTCAGTAGCAATAAGCTCAGCAAAAGTACCGAGCAAATCACCACAGAAGCAAGCCTTGATGGTTACCACCACCCGACACAATCCTTCGACCAAGCAAACAAGACAAGGGTAGTATAAAACTTAAGTCATGTGATGAACACATCAAAACTCGACCAAAGACATTCACCTAAGGGACAAGTAATCAAACATCACAAACAGAACATAAGTAATCAATAAATAAATTTAAGTGAAGGTAAAAATGAGACAAAGGTAAGAAGTCGACTGAAAGCCACATTTCATTTTATATTGATTGGTTATAAAGTTTTTTCCTTTACAAAAATTTCATATAAAAGTTTTCTATTGCAAATAAAAATAGAAAAAATTTCTAAAGTCGAATCATGTGTTTGTTTACTTTCAGTCGCCATGTACTTACCCTTAGATATTTATTTTTTTTCTTGTTGTTGCTGCGGTGTTGAAAAGAGATTGGTGAATTCCTCCAAATCAAAATACTTCGGGTCAACCAGATTGACCAGCACAAACTAGTCGATTGCCAGCTTTGTGTCGAACCGGAGGTGAACTCTTCAGCCGTCTTCACCGTCGCAATTTTCTTTGTCAAATCATCATTTTCCTCCAGAACGATTGTAAGCCACTCTAACACTCTTCAGCTCTTCCTCAGCTTCTTCCAATAGAGCCTATTCCATGACAGCCTAATCTTCAACCTCCTTTGCCCGAGCCTTGGGGATCCTTTCCCTCTTCTCAGCCTTGAAAGATTTCTCTTTGGCATCAAAATAAAGGGCTGACATGAGGCGTATGGTCGCAATTCCTAGTAGTTGGTATCAGTCAATTCTCTGGAAGAGGTCCCAAGCGCTGTACCCATTGTGATGCTTCTCAAAGCTCTTTGACCAAAGAACATCAGCTATTGTCAAGGCATACATGTCAATGCTCAGGGCATTTGTAAACCGGTCCCTCATTATACTTTGAAAATTGGGAGTCCTGACTTACGAAGACCTTTGCCTGCTCTTTTTGAATAGGGCATCAGCCACTCGAGGCTTCTCTCCTTTTTTCTTGGAGGCAAGGGAAGTGAGGTATTTGAATCAGGAGTCAAAACCTTGCCCTTCCTTTGGCAAGCTTCCTCGAAGGCATTGGGTTCGGACTCCGGTCCAGACTCGGCCCAAGCCCCCTCCCCATGATGGGTTTCCTCCTCAACAACAACAGTAGGAGTAGCAAGTATAGGTTTTGTCTTGGATTTGGTGGGAACCACAAGGGAGCCAATGATGTTGGAGACCTCCGCCATCCGTCAGTTTTCATTTCAGGATATTATTTGGGACCAGCTGGGAGGTCGACCATCTTCCCCTTCTTGGCACCAAAGCCTGAGTTTCTCCGGCCACTCCGACAAGGGGTTTTCGGTCGACTCATATTAAAGACAAATCAATGATCAAGACCACCTCATTTGCATAAACAAAAAAACGTCAATAACATGAAGTAATTTTCTTCTAATTACAATAAACATGCCTCATCATACTAAAGAGTCGATCCATCTAAGACCACTGAAATGAAGGAAAGCTCTCAGCAAGCAGCGACAAGGTGCCCACAATCCCACTGGCCGAAAACATAATGGTAACCCCCCAATCATCTGGTTGTGAAGCTCCAACAACTCTCTGGGCAGATTTTCTGGTCGGTTGAATGCAAGTTGAAACGAGGGTTTAGGTCGAAGCACCAGCAATCAGGTCGCCCAACTTGCCTCCCCTTTCTTTTGTTGAAGTGTAACAGAGTCACACGACACAACCATGTCTCAGGATCTTCCACATGTTTCTTCTTGTGAGTGAGTTGCATAATTCACCTTTTGTTCTCAGATTGGCTTCCATTTCCCGGCTTCTTAGCACCGTCGGGCTTCTTTTCGTCCATGGGATAGTTCTCTTCTTTCGACCTCTTTTTCCCTCAGGACTCTTCTCACCTTTCAGTCAGCTCCCCACTTTTGATATTTTCTCTCTTGAGCTCCTTCTCGGGGTGGAGCTTCGATGTAGATAACCTAAATGTTTTCATCATTTTCTACTTAGTAGAGGCATCCTCTATGGGCTTCTTACCATTCTTCATGAGAACATTCGTGAAGCCGACTGACTGAGAGGCACATATTCAAAAGCAAATGGAGATAACTAAGACATCAATCACACCTTATTTATAGGAGCTATGGGCACAAAAATCTTGAGAGTTCAATTATCAAAGTACTAATTATGAATTAGAATCAAACTTTTACATTTAATTCTCTTATTTTTATCGCAGATATCACTTTTAAGAAGTAAGAGAATCGAGAAACTAAAATATGCACATCAAAAAAGCGTCGCACGAGAAAATCCAACGGAGTATAGAAGAAAGTACGATGAGGGATGGCCCGCAGAAGTCATAAATTCTTATCATTAGAAGATCAAAGGAATCATTTGATCAGATACAGATCCCTTCAATCGAAAGCTGAAGTCAACCGGATGTTGGTCGTCCTAGCTAAAGACCAAGATTCATCAAGCTGAGAGAGGGCAAAAACCCAACTCTCGTCTCAGCATCACTAGCCACCTCATTAAAGCCTCTGAGACACTTTATCAGGAGGTTGAATGTTCTACCATATTATACTCCACGAATACCCTAAAGGACCTTTTGTCAATGGGGAGTTAATTGTCAAATTACGGTGATTCAACATCTGCCTGACGACCTAGTCTCATCCTGACGATAGAAGCTCCTTAACTAGGAGTCGATAGCCAGACCAAAGCAGCCAACTGACAAACTCAAGTCAAACGAGTCGAGTCCGGAATACCAAATATTGACAAGAGCCAATTAGCAGCCCCAACTCAACATAATCAAATGAACGAGCTTTGCCAAACCAAGGCCCGCTAATCTCAGCTGATTGAACGATAAGGGAGTCAAAACACTCATTTATGTAAATAACCAAAATACCCTATAACGCCCCCCATTAAATAGGTGTGAGCATTTGTTTATATATATTATACCCTCTTTGTCTATAAATAGAAGATCATTCCATGAATAAAAGATTACACAATCCTTTCAGCCTATTGTTCATTATTGTGCGCGCACACACACACACACAATCTCTCTCTCTCTCTCTCTCTCTCTCTCTCTCTCTCTCTCTGATGTAGATGCACCATTTTTATAAACACATAAAAGGCTTGTTTCACTGCCCCATATTTAAGCATACTTTCCAAAAAAGAACTTCTTACAAATAATAAAATTAAAAACTAAGAAAAGACAGCCTTAATGTCTAACCAATCATACAACCTTTTACAATCACTAACCATTTCGTCCTAACGAATTTAAGAAAATATAAATTAATAATATACATGTTTGAAAGGTTGACATAATGTAAAGTGCTTATTAAAATGATATTACAGGAAGAACATCATCTAATCCATTATCTTTTTAATCTAGTTGATGGATGTCAGATAATCAGTTTACTTTTTTTTTACCGTTTATACAGAAGAGTCTACTAACAGATGGATTCAAGCAATAATCTGATAGCTCCCACTCACTCTATTTATCCTCGTGCCACAACTTACGCGCGATTAAATAGAGTGAGTGTATGGATGGATGCATGCATGTATGTATGCATGTATGCATGTATGGATGGATGCATGTATTATGTATGGATGCATGCATGCATGTATGTATGTATGTATGGATGGATGCATGTATGTATATATATATATATATATATGTATGTATATATGTATGTATGTATAAATTGTCCATAATCATATTGAAGCATCTACATTTGTATGGACAAAGGTGCATGGGTGTGTGCAACTTTCAAGTAGACGTACATTCATAAACAACTAATGTTCAGCTCAATAAAAAATTCCGACTCGTTTGTTTAACAAGTCGAATTAAACAATACATGAGCTCGCCCAAACTCGGTTCATTTACAACCCTACGCATTCACGAAGATCCCCTAACTAACAAATAAAAATAAATAAATAAATAAAACTAACAATACAACATAATTTTCAAATTTAATTTATCAACCAGAATATTTAATTTATCGAACCTTTTCTAAGTTATGCCATAAATTACAGTTAAATACTCCAAATTTGAATTCCTCGAGTCAACCAATGTTTGAATTATTACCAGAAGATGATCTAGATAAAGGATGATGAGTAGATGTGTTAGTCATACCAGAATTAAACATTGTATTTTGAGAAGATCCTGAAGAGGGGGGATGAATGGCAGAGAGAGGAAGCCTCGGTCCAAAAGAAAACATCTGCTGTCTTTGCATGAACTGTGAGTGAGGATGAGGCAAACTGTTCCCATAAGCTGGAGTGAGGTTTCCCTGCCCATTGGCTACCGGCATTGTTGCCGGTCTGAGGTTTAAATTTCCAGTCGATGGTGCTAATGAACCTGCCATCGCACCGGATGCAGCTAGCGAACCTGCCAGCGAAGAGGCTCCGGGTGGCGCGAAGCAGGTGGCCATGATTCGGGCGCGCTCTGCAGAAATCCTTTGTCGCATTCTCTCCACCTTTTCAGTTTCGTTCAATAAAAATGTTTCCACCTCTGCAAATTGTTTTAGCTTCAGCTCCAGTCTCTTTAACTGCAACAGGGAAAATATGATTTTTGGTTTTAAAAGTTATCTAGCTTTTGCAGGTTTATGGATTACAAAAGCAATAAGCAGAATGCATATCTAAGAAACATTCCAAATTGTACTGTTTGTATATCAAAAATAGATGAAGTTAATATAAAAACATGATAAATGATGAGCTTTCTAATTGACACGAAAGGAAATTTTAAGAGAGATTCATAAAACCCTTAGCTGTAATAAGGTCAATGACGATGATGATGAGCATGATTATAATGATTAACTTCCCAAAAACTTGAATAACAACCTGAAAACAAAAGGAGACTTCCCTGAAAATTTTGGATTCATCGTTGAGGATGAGTAAAGGAATTGATTTTCAACGAGGATGCAACAAAAGGAAAACCAGAGAGAATTTAGATTGGTTAAAACCACCAAGAATTTAGATCAGTTAACGCCAACAAGAACTTTAATAGGTTAACTCATTGAAAAGAAACAAAATGTAGGGTTCAAGCTTGGCAGCCATGGAATAAGCATCGAATTTATCAATGCTGGTCTGAAAACAATAAGGGAATTGTTGAAGAATTTTTTTATACTGTTGCTCAATATATAAAAACCTCTGAAGCTGTCAAAAGTTTAGTGCTTATTTTTTATTTTATTTTATTTTTTGGGAAATAATGAGATCTTCTTTGAAAAAGATTACTCCTCAAAAGCATTAATATTACCTTTGTCAAGCCTTTCTCAACAAAAAGTCCAAATTAAATGAATGATGACTTGCCTAAGGATTTTTAAAATACTTTTCCCTAACATTCAGCAAAAAAACAATAGGGGAATTTACAGAGATACCACAAATTTCTTATGTATTGACATATCTAACACCTAAATTTTACTATTAACATTCATAATACTCAAATCTTTAACATCACCACAAGAATGAACTAATCTTTCAAAAGTTAAATGCATCTTTTTTATGCATAAGTTTATAGTACCAAGGCGTTCTAAATGTCAAACATTAGGTGTTAGATACGTTAATCCACAAAGATATTGTGATACATGTGCAAATTTCCAAAAAATAATAATAGCACTAAAGGCAGATACTTGCTCACTATTTCCAAGAAGATAAACCTGGTGACTAATAATATTCGCAGCCAGCCTTTGCACTTCACGTTCTTCTTGATCTGCGAATAGTTTTGTCTTCGTCGCCGCAGCAGAAAGACCACACAAAGCAGCATACCTTACATGCTCGCTAGAAAGAGAATTTGAATCTCTGCTTAAATTTGAAGCTTGATCTTCAGTATAATTATCTATATACCAATTACCATAGTAGTCAGAAGAAAATATTATTTAAATTAGGAAAAGAAAGCAAACATTGAAGTAAATTACCCTTTTGGTTAGATGAGTTTGTATAACTCGCTCCCTGTGAACCAACTACATCATGAACATTCTCTGGATTCAGCCTACGAGTTTAAAGGTTAGTTGGTAAAGCAACAACAAAATCCAAACACATCGAGTTCTCTTTCAGACATCCTCAAGCTGACATAAAAATCCTTTTTAAAATAGGGCGTGAAATATCGATTGCTTGTTGCACCCTGTGAATCACGTGAAAGTAGGATACTCCAAATTCGGGGGTCAAAGAGTTTCATAAAACGTTCTTGGTGGAAAAAAATGCGAGTGAAAGATCCCACTGAATCGAATTTGATCCAGGAATCTACGAAATAGTGAGAATTCTTAATCTCTCTCAATATCGCATTTACATACATTTTACCCAATTCCCATGTACTTACATATCTAACACCTAAAGTTTACTTTTTACATTAATACCACTCAAATATTTTATATCACATAAAAATACCGTCATTTTAGCTTTTAAAAAGTAAAATACCCTTTTTCATGAATAGGTAAGGTGGCATGTATGTAAAAATTAAATTTTAGCTGTTAGATATGTAAATAGATAAGAGCTTAGCGGTGTGTATGTAAATCTTCCTTCAAAATAACTTTGGTAACCGCAAAAGGTGTATGGATTGTACGTGTAATAGATCTTATGTGATACATGGCCTAACCTGAAATCTTCTTTAGTAAGGACTGATAATGCTGCGCTAGCGCAGGAAGCAGCAACCCTAGGTGCAATTGCAGAGGCCAAAAATGCAACCTAAAAAGAATCACAAAACATTTAGGAAAGAACATCATTGAAATTTATGTACTACAACACTTTACAAAACAAAACAAAAAATATTTTAAAAAAATGAGCCACATTATAAAAAAAAAATACTTTAACATCCTCTAAGCTTAAAATGAGCACGCCAATAAAATCCAAACAAATTGTACAGCATTTTCTCAAGAATGGGAGCATTCAAACAAGCAACAGATAAACATACATTACAAATTCAAGTGGTGAATGTTTAAATTGCATATTAAATGGTAGTTAGGAATTAACTGCTAATTGATGATACAAATATGAGAGTTGAGCAGTGGCGCCAGCATCAAGGCGCCATAGGCACGGCAATTGTCACATCTCCCATTCTAGACCGGTTCGGTCCACAAGCAGAGGAGGGGCCGACATGTTTTTCCAAGAAAAGATTTGTCACCTATGGGGAGTGGAGTCCGCTTCTTAGTTACCCAGGATCAATGTATGTTGGTTCTGTCGAGTTTTAGGGAAATTTTTGCACATATTTGTTCAGGACAGCCACTAGCCTTTCCAATTTTCCTATCTAGCGCAGTATCCAAGGGTCAAGTGATGCTCCGACTGTATTTCACTCCAAAGATGTTGATTATCCTCCCTCCTACCCTTCCCCATCCTTGCAACATCGTTCACCGTAGCCTGCCCTTGCTGCAGCTGCCACCGCACAGCAGCCCTTGGCTGTTGTTCCAGCAGTTTCCCACTTTCAGCCGCCTGTCCTCGCTACCACCGCACTGGACAGCCACCCTTTGGCTATCCTACCATCCACCGCAACACTCGTCACTGCCGCCGTCATTCCCCCTCACTGCCGCTACCCGGAACAGCTGTTTTCCTGTCTCTACCTGCAGTTTCCTGTTCTACCAGCCCAGCTTGCTGTCTCCTTGTTGTCCCAGCCATACCAGTAGCTACTCCCATTCCATCTCGCCGTTTTGCAGCTTTCTATTTCCCTGCAACCCAACCTTTTCCGGCATGTTACCGCCCAGGAAAGCCATCCTCTGATGTGATGCCATTGCTTTCCAACCATTCCTGCCACCAACCGCCCCTTCCAGTTCACCTAGCCGATCACCACCACCCCTGGATCGGTATGAGTTTGTGCGTTATGTTGTTATTTCCTATTTCCATTTATTTGATTGTAATCCAATATTTGAATTCTGCAATAATATTTAGTTTTTCTATTATTATTTTCTTAACTACGGCATTATTTGATAACAGAACAAGTCTAACCCTAGTTCTAGCCTAAGGTTACCTAAATCCACCAATAACTAACCTAATCTCCACCCAAAAACTCGTCTTTTTGCTGAATTTTCAAATTATTCCCCAAAAATTCTTCCTTCCCATCCTAAATAAACCCCGTACACTATTTTTCATCTCTCAAATCTAAATCCTAGCAATGTCACTGAGAGACAATTGTCTGAACCCTGTTCGGGAGAAAAGAACACAATGCCGCTTATGAGAAGCCCTCAAAGAGATGTCCAAGAGCTTTCTATTGAAAATATGCAAACAGAAATCCTTCAACTGCAACAGAGGCTTATCACCTTTGAAAAGAGATGGTCTGAATAGGTCACGCGTAGCCATAATGATGATTCGTCAGATTGAAAGGATGAGAAACAGCTACCCCCAAAGATTTGACATGGAATATCAAAGGAGAAGCGAGGATCGAGAAGTAAATGTGGATTTATATGACTTTGATGGTCACAAGAATCCAAAAAAATTCATCAAGTGGCTTCAGGCAATGGAGCAAGTCTTTGAATACAAGGATATTCCACCAGAAATAATAGTAAAGCTAGTCGTCATCAAGTTAAAGAAGAGTGTGTTGATGTGGTGGAAAAATTTGAAGCACCTACATCAACGAAAAGTGAAAAATAAAATCACTACCTGATCCAAGAAGAAACGATGGATACAAAATAAGTACCTACTAGTTCATTATAGTCAGAACATGTACTCGGGACATCACCAGGTGATTGCCACATCTTATAAGCAGAGTTCAATCTCAAGTTCAACAATAGTACACCTAGTGAGCATCCAAGCTAACCCTGTATGAGGAGAAGCTAATTCAGAGTTGAGAACAGATAGAGCCAACGAGCATTCCCAAATCTGTCCCAGCCAGAAAGTGCGTCAAGTGTCTCGATTTTGGGCACAGTGCATCATATCGCCCAAACAAGAGTGTGATCTATTTCACTGAACAGGGAGCAGTTGAAGAAATGGACAAAGATAGTGTAGGTACTGAAGAAGTTGAGGACCCAAAGGAGTACCAACTTCCATCTAGAGCTGTAAATAAACCAATGCACTTGATAAACAACTCGAGCTCAACTCAATTAAGACTTAATCATGTTTTTTTTTCAAATTAGTAAATAAACAAGTTTAAATAATTTTTAAAAGCTCAGAGCTTAAATGAACTAAATATGAACATAATTGAACTTGTTCATTTATATTCACGAACAAACTCATTTATTTTCAATAAGTAATTCGTTAAATATTTGATACTAAGCTTGATGATAACTCATATCATATATGATATATTATTTAAATAAAATTTGATTGACTGAAATTTATTTAATTATAGATTTAATAGTAATATTTATTGTATCGATAATATTTTTGATTAATTATTAAATATATATTTATTTTATAAATATATAATTATTAATTATATATTTATTTTATCAAAGTTTAGGTGTTAGATGTGAAAATTCATAAGACTTGTGTGGTATGTATGAAATGCCCTTTAAAATTAACTTTAGACCCCCGCAAACCTCATTTTCCCCCTCGTCTCTCATAGTCACGTCTCCTGGTTTTTCCCGAAACATACGCAACTCTGAGTAGCTAGGGCGTGAAAGCAATGAACATAACGACGAGATTGCAGTGTGCAAGAATTTCTGAAACTCTAAGTCTCTCGTATATCTCCCATTTTCACTCTACTCATAAAGTCTACCCGATTAAAAAGTGGTGTTGAGAAGGTAGAGCGCAATCATTGTAAGTTATATACGATTAAGAAATAGAGATGGTGCAACAGCTCAATATAAAAGATACCTACGAAATTGTCTAAAAAAACTAAAAAAATGACAAATGCATATCATTATGGGTCAACCAACATCTACATACTAATGTGGGAGTTGGGTGCAAACTTAGGAGTATGATCATGCTAAAAATATGAGAGATTACATCTCATATGATCATGGTTCATGAGTTAACTTTCATTTTATATAGTTTATAATCGATAAATTAGTATGTGCAATCAGATTTGTAAAACTATTTATTGAATTTTATATATGAAAATCTAGCTACTCGGTGAATTTTTAGCTTGTTTATTAGCTCGCTTAAAAACTCCTTCACTTGTCATAATTAAATCAAGTTCAAAGATTGAGAATTTTAAACGATTCAAGCTTGAACAATATATGAAAGTTCAAGCTGAAAATGAACAGCTTATAATTATACCAAACCAAGTCTAAACTATTATATACCAACTCCTCTCAGCTTGATTACAACCCTGCTTCCAACTAAAGAGAGAGAGATGCACGTCATTCACGTTGAGCTCATGAGAGGAACTCCAACAGGAGTAATATTGATTTTCCAAGAGGGTCATGAATTCGTGAACCAACACCAGACACATGGAAACGCCATATAAGAGAAATTCAAAACTTTCAAATATATAGCATATCATCGGAGTTGCCTCTATCAAGGGAGGTCCAACATGTAAGAGATGAGAAGCTTTTGAGCAACTTCTGGAAGATAATAAGAAGTCAATTGGGTGTTAAATTCAGTTCAGAAGTGTAATCAACGACGGATGGTAAGACAAAAAAGATAAACCACAACATTGGAAATCGCCTTAGGAGCTTTGTGAGAAAAAAACATCCTACAATGGAATCTAGATCCTTTAGGAAAAGAAGGGGCTCCTCCTAAGTGGTTGCTATTGAAAGTAGTCCAGCATGCCACATATTTCATTCCAGAGTTAGTTCCTCCAAACGAATTTTTTAATCGAATGTGCCCAACCGAGTACGAGTGAAAGATAAGAATTACAGACTAAATGGCTCAAGAGTTATTTTGTACGAACTGATATAGACAACTCCAACTAAGGTTATGCCAAAGGAGAATGAATATTTATTCTATTAGGATGTATTTTGGAATGACAACGCCTATAAGATTTGACATACCGGAAATTACAACATTTCTGTTACCCTAAACATGTATGATCTGAATCCATACTATGAGGAGACAGAAGCATTGACAGATGAGGTCAAAGATCATCCAACATTAGGAGACTGATGTGGTCGTCCAGGTGTCATAGGCACAGTAATTAGGTCTATGAATTTAGCTCAAAGATTGTCAATCACTCAAAAATCAATTCAAGTTGTGGCTTGAATCGAGATCATATCCAAATAACTCAATTTGAGCTAGCACATTTGGATTTCAAACTGGATCGAGCTCAATTCAATTTCAAGTAGGCTCGGCTTGAAATCGAATATTACAAGACGAGCCGATTTCGAGCCGCACTAAGGGCCCGTTTGGGGCCAGCTTATAAGTGCGGCGACGTTTCTCAAAATGCCGCCTTAGTGTTTGTTTCGCTCGATTTAGGTGTGTTTCTACAAACGGCATTCTCTTAATTCTACTACACGCGAATCGCAGGTATACCCTCGCGATCCGCATTTAGACTCTACGGTTTACTCCATTGCCCTCGCGCGTAGCCCTACCTTTCCTCTTTGGCGTCGATCGCTCTGCAGTTAAGATCTCCACTCCTCCCTCCGCTCCCCCATTTGGTCGAAAGCTTTCGTCGTTTTCGACGATCTAACTGTTGAGTTTTGCGTTGAATCCGGAAGTGTTGATAAAAGCTAAAAATCTAGATCCACTTGTTGAGAATGATGAAAGTTGGTAAAAATTTAAATCCGATGTTTTAACGAGATATTTAATGCATCAACAATAACTCCTTTGTTGTTCATATCCTACTGTTGTTTTTCGGTTTAAGGTGGTGCTAATTG